AAACCATCTCGCAGTTCCCCCCCCCCCCCCATCATTTCGTAGAAAAAGAGGTGCAGGAGCTCATTAGCATGGACTGAATATTTCTCTACAGGATTGTCTCGATGTTCGCTTTCCACTAGAGTGGGAGCATTTAAATATGCAACACCTGCCCACCCACAGCCTGCAGTGTCCAGGAAAAACATGATGACTTGCAGGTGACTGTATATAAAGTGGCTCCTTTTCACTTTTGCATTGCAGTGATTTTACCAGGAACACAGAGAGATTAGTATGAGGCAGAAGTGCCTGTGGAGAATGGCCTCTTTTCTTTTTCTCGCTGTTGGAGCACTCGAAATGCCACTGAAAAGGCAAGCAACCAATTGCGTCAAAAGACAATGCTACAAAATGGGGTGTCTTCCCAATGGCCCTTCTCAAGATGGCGCGTTGCTTTGGCCCGCAATTGAACGTAGGTGTTTAACGGTCTCTTCGTGGCGGCCGCCAGGTATCCTCCTTGTCCCATCAGCCGTAAAAAGGAAATGATCTTCCTAAAAAGAGTTATTGTTTTTATGACAGTAAGCGAATTATCTCGTTGCCATGGCATAAAATTAAAATATCCCTGAACTCCCAAGGCGAAGGGCGATTAAAGCAAACGTTGACCTTCTCCAAATGGCGCCGCCACAGAGTCGAGAGAAGGCTGCCGCATTTTTAAAATGCACCTTCGCTGGGAGACGAATAATTGACCTTCTAATGATGGCTGAACTCGAGCACGCCCTTTCCAAGATGGCGGGAGTAGGGGCGGGAGGCGACCGTTCTGTTCGTCGAGGCCTCCTCCTCTATGGTTCCTTCCGTGTTTCCTTTGGCTGTCTATGGTCCTTCTCCCAATTGACCAACCAACAAACACGGAATCCCACGGCTTCTTCCTGTGCGCACGCGCCGCCCGACGCTTCCAGTGAAACCGGGTTGGGCCGTCCTGAGGTTGCGGTGCATGTTGGGATATTGGGGGGTCGACCGCTTTTTCCTCTCTGGGGGGTCTGGGCAGAGGCTGCAGCTGCAGAGATGGTGAGTCGGCGGAGGGAACGGTGGTGGCCCTGGTCCGCCTGGAAATATCCTCCCCCTCCTTTCCTTTTCTCCATAGCGAACCCCTCTTTCTACCCTCGCACTTTTCTTTTGCAGGGACCCCTCTGGCTCTCTTCCCCCACCCCCCGCCGCCGCCGCCGTCTCCTCTTCTTCTTCTTCATTTGTGTAGGGCTCCCTCCTTCCCCTTCCCTGGGCGCCCTCCTAGCTCTCCCCGCCTCCCTCCCTCCGCACACCCACCTAGCATCTTCCTAAGGGGGACCCTCGCCCCTTGGAGGGGGCCCTCTTTTTCAGCCCCTTGGCCAAAAGGTCTCTGTGCGACCCAGCCGCCTCCTCCTTGCTACCCTCTTCCAAGCCCGTGCCACTTTTGTCAGAGACTGTTTCTCCCTCCTTCCCTCACAGCAAGCCAGGCCGTGCCCTCCCCCCGCTTTTCCCTGGTCAGGAGCCTGTTAACCAGTTCCGCTGTTTCTCTTTCGCTCTTCTGCCTTGCCTTTTCTTTTGCCAATACTACTAACCTTCCGTGGGTCATTTCGTACACCTCAAATGCTCATAACAAAATTGGCACACGCTGGGGCGCTTCTGTAGAAAGTGTGGGCCATGATTTGTGTGAGCTGGGGGGTGGGTGGGACAGCTCGCTGTGAACCCTCCGGAGCCAGGGGGCAGAGCAGGGTGAAAATCAAATGTCTGCCACCCGGCCGACTAAGCCTGAGCCGGTCATGTCAGCTGCGGTTGGGGTGTGTTTTGATGCTGGAGGTGGATTCTTTCGTGCTTTTTAGACCGAACTGCTTCGGCCTTTTAACCGGCAACACTGGGCAGAAGATTTGGGAGCGACAGTAGTGGACTGTTGTATTTGAGGCATTTGGGATACAGAAGCGATCCTGAAAGATTTTGACAGGATTGGAATGCTTATAATTTGAAGCAGGACTGGGATAACTTTCCAAGGCTGCATTCAACATAACTATGGCTATAGTTATTGTATCAGTATTTACATTTTTATCTACAAGAACAGAATATCACTTATTGTTGATTCCTAAGTACTTATTATTCATCATATAATTGTTTATGATTTATTTACTGATGATGATGATCATTTCCCCAGGAGCACTTGGAGGAATGAATCCCCCCACCCCCTTCTTTTATTTTATTCCATTTTTATGCAACCCTTCCACCCAAGAAACTCAGCATGTCATACATGGCACTTGTTCTCCCAATTCCTCTTCTATCCTCATAGCCACCCTGTGAGGTAGGCTAGGCGCAGAGTGTATGCCTGGGCCAAGGTCACCCAGCAGGTTTCCACAGTAGGGCAGGAATTTGAACCTGGGTCTCCCAGACAGAAGTTTGAAAAACAGAGATTTTGAACCAAGGCCTTTCTCTGTCTTGGTTTAGTTATCAAGAGAGGGGGAAAGTATCAGGTGGGTTGACCTGCAAACATTTCAAAAGCAAAAGCTGTGTAATACCTTTTATTGGAACTAACTTAAATATCACAAAACAGTGTGTGAGCTTTTGAGTTCTCTAGAACTCTTTGTTGGGCTGGATATTCAGTACAAAAAAGATGGGGAAGAAAAGTTGTCTTGGGCGTTGGTGGCAAAAACCCACAACTTCAGTTAGAGACTTAAAATGGAATACAGGATATGCCGGAGGCTGAATTGAATAAGATGCTGTTGGGTGTCAAACAGGTTTTCAAGTTATTTGCTGCGACAAAGAGAAGAAAAACTGTCATTCTGCCCTTTTGTGAATATAATAAAGCAGCAGTTAGTTTGGGGAGGAAGAAGATTTTTATCTCCTGGGAGAAGGATCTGGGAAGGGTTTGTTTCTGGTAAGGTTTCTATAAACTGGATTATCTAAGCATCAGACAGGAATGGCCTTTTTTAATTGTGCCTGGGGGAAGGAGGCTAGTTGGTCTCAGAGGGACCCTCAGATTCTAGACAAGAAGCTTTTCAAGACTGTTCCTATGATTTCCATTAGAGGGCAAAAAAATCTTTGGGTTACTTTTCAGGAGGGGTGGGCTATCTTGGAAACTTCACAGTGTTGTGAGGGCTTGAAACAATGGGGTGTGTATTTTGCATAAATTTGGCATTTATTTTTGAAGAGATTCTTTATTTATGATGGGGTCATCTTGTTCTCAAATTGTTAATTCCCAAAAGGGTAGATGCTGTGTTAATGATTTAAAAAATAGGCTTAGAAATAAAAGGGAAGAGAATGCTCTTGGGACTTTGTTTACGAAAGGCCTAAGTACCCAAGTGCTTTGTATGTTTACTCACGAGTAAACTCATGCTGTGCACAGGACCGCAACCTTGTCACTAATGTTATTGTCAAGGTGGATTGTACCCCATAGAGGCTTGCGTGGAGAACAACCAAAAAAATGGAATGATCCAGTTTTAATGTTTTTAAAGCATTGATTTTGCTTGGAAGTAGGGAACTGAAATAACAGTACTCACTACAAAAGACTGGAGGTAAGTTGTGTATCCAAATGGTAGATTTGCTTATTTGGAACAGGCCTGTTGTTACTAGATTATGTTTTGGTTTGGAGGTGGATCAAGATTGGCTTGTGCTGATATGTGTTTCCAAAGCTTATGTGATATTCCTCCACCAAACACTTCTGTCCTGTGCTTTCTGCAGATTGGTGCTAACAGCCCCCAGGTTTGGATCCAGCCAGTTTTCTTGCTTAATCTCACCCGGTTCCCCTCCTTACTACATCCCCTGTTCCATGCAGCTTTTGTCCCTGTAGGTCCCCTGATCCCCAGCATAGCCTTTTTGGTAGCCAGAGTGGATCCCCTTCTCCCTTCTGCTCCAGCAGAAAAACTGGCCAGATCTAACCTATAATTAGTAACTGTGAACATGGCTATGTAGGAAATGCCGTGTGTGCCATTGTTGTGCCCAGGACTCTGTGGTTCGTATGCCAGAAGGGCACATGTGAAATCCAGTCCATGCTTGAGGACGCAAGGCTGTTGCACTCTTTTTAGGGGGGCAAAGTTTACATAAATATGCACAGACAGCCACGCCCCAGCCCCTGTCTCCTCATTTTGGGAAACATGTCCTCTTTGTCTCTCCCAGCTTTACCAAGGAATCTCGGGGATGTTGGTGACAGGCAAGATGTTTTAGGCTTTTGAATAACCACTTGCCTGATTGCTTGTAGCAAGTAAGAATTTCCTGCAGGTAAATTAGTGTTGTCGCCATTGTTTTCATCTAGAGGGGGGGGGGGGGGGGGTGGAAAGTGCCAGTGGATCGCTGAAAACTTTTTTGAGACGACTCACTTTGGGTCACTACTTAACTCTCCTTCCCTGTCTTCGAACAGGACGTCTTTCTAATGATCCGATGTCACAAGACGACCATTTTCACAGACGCCAAGGAATCTAGTACGGTGTATGAGCTGAAAAGAATCGTGGAGGGGATCCTAAAGAGACCCCCAGAAGACCAGAGGCTATACAAGGTATGCGGGAGAGCAGCCCAAATGAATTGCATGTAGACAATACTGCCATTTTGCCCTCTCTTTATACTTGCCCTTTTGTGTATTTTTGAGTGTCCTTGTTTAAGACCCTTCAGTGTTTTCTTGGATTAGTTCAGACGTTACTTTTTACAAGACATGTACCGTAAGACGAGGGACCTCAGGTACACACGATCTCGCAAGCATGCCACGGTGTTGATATTTGTGTGTCTGGATAGTGAAACAAATGAGCATCCAGTGGCTCTTTAGGGCTGCATGCAAGCTTCCAAGCCTGCACTCATAAAACAGTGATAGGCACCTGGCCAGTAGGGACAGCTTGTCCATCACTCAACTAGTTCCTTTTCGTGACTAAAAGACTCCTTTTCAGCAGGGGACAGGAGTAAGGTAGATGGGGCCGACCAGCTCTTCATCCCAGCCAGCCTCCTTGGATCCTGTGTCCCTTTCCAGCGTGCTCCCCGCTCCGTGCCCAGGCCAGGTAGCACGTTGATCTGGGTGTTCATATCTCTGCTCATGCAACTGCATAGCCTCTCATTGGGTTCTGTTCTGTGGGCATGGGGGAGGGGACTAACAGAGGGAACCAAGGAACTGCTCACGCCTAGGACTCTTGCAGTGTGATCCTAAGCAGTGTTCCCTCTAAGCTGAGTTAGTGTGAGCTAGCTCACAGTTTTTTAGCCTCTAGCTCACACATTTTTGCCTTGGCTCAGGAAGGAGGGCTCCAGAGCAAACTAATTTATGCAGTAGCCAAATCGCTGGCTCACAACTTTAATGCCAGCAGCTCACAAAGTAGAATTTTTGCTCACAAGACTCCACAGCTTAGAGGGAACATTGATCCTAAGAGCACTTTATTGGGAGTAAGCCCCACTGAATAGATCTGAGTAGGATTGTGAGTGTTGGACTGGGCAAAATCCTTCTGGGGACACCCTGTGAGGCAGGTCACTGTGGGTCCAAGGCCACCCAGTAATTTCAAGACTGAACAATCTGAACCTAGTCACGAGTCGTTGGAGCAGTTTTTCCCAAGATTTTGATACATGTGGGCACATTTGTGTGTTCCTTGCATTGAACTGGCGGGATGCTTAGTTCTTAGGTCATTTTTGTAGTCAACTCCCAGAAAAACAGATGGGTCTTAATGCAGCTGTCTGGCATACCCTCCCATCCACACAGTCAGACAACACTCTGAGGGATAAGACTAATGCTTTCTGAGTAAAAGCGGTGCTTTTGGGATTCCTCCTTATTTTTCACCTGTGTAGCAGGCAGCATCCAGAGAATCCGTTCTTTGGAATGGTGCCATTGCCCTAACATCACTGTATGGGGTCTCCCCGTGGTGGTGGGCATGATGTGGTGGATCAGCCAATACGCTGGTTGGCTTTTATTCTTCCTAGCCAATCATGAGTCTGCCACTCAATGCACATTTTTGAAAATTGGCTCCTCAGTTGTATTTTAGGAGCTTTTACCGAACTCTTTTAATAAATAACACACTAAGCTTACAACACAAAAATATAACATCACTGAAATCACAGCAAAAACACAATCCAATTTTACTCCACCCCAGGCCAGAGGGTTGGATCCACCCAAGTTTTCCTCTGGCACAAAATGGAAGGGGGGAAATTCCCTTTGACCAACAACAACAAAAAATCTACACTTGGGTTATGGGACTTGCACAAACAAAAGGCATGTCTAGTGGGGTGCTATAATAGATTGAGTGAAAATGCTGGATGGAACCACTGCAGAGAATAAAACTCAAATACAGTCAAAGACCTTCCAGAATAGATCAGCGTTCTTGTGGGAGGGAGTTTCTCGATCTGACTGTGAAGGCACTCGCATGGGTCCCACCAACCAAACATCTAAAATGGCAGATTCCTACCATACGCCATCTCCTCTTTCCTCAGTTATTTTTTTATTTTAAATTATACTTTTATTCTTTTACTTAAAAGTACATTCAAATGCAGAGAAAGAAACAACACAAACTCAAAAGCATCCAAGGGGTATACAGTAAATGAATGTATAGTGGTTAAACTATGAACTTTAAGGAACCCTGGTTAAAATCTAAATGATCTTATTTACTATACTTTACTCAACATTTTATCTAATGTCTCCTCTGAACGTTTGCACCATTGATTAGTGTTATTGACCGTTCAATAGATGTAGACTTATTCAACTGTCCAGATTCTTAGAGTGAGCGATGCGTTATAAGAACAACCGTCTGTGATAATTCATGTTTGTGGGGAGAATTTCGTATTTTGACATATATTTCACCACCAGTGACCAGAGCCTTCTAAATTTCGTATGTGGTGTAAGGTGTCTGGGTCTATCTCCTCTTTCCTGGATGATCTCAGCACTGCTGAGCAGGCCAAACTAGGGAGACGAAATTCCAGGGACCCATGGAATTGGGGAAATGGTGTGATTAACTTCCACAGATGTATTTTTTTTTGGGGGGGGGGTGAGGAAGGCCATCTTCATCTGCCCGCCTGGGCTCGTTCATATGACCCAAACTGCAAAGGACTTTAAAGGCCAAAGCCACCCACTCCAGTCAGGCCTGCTTTGGGTGCCCTTCTGTCATTCCTCACCACCGCAAAGCCCACTTGCCTTTCCGGTGTTGCTTGCGCCACCCAGAAGCAGCTGCGCTTCACTACGGCTGAGTCTAACCCCTGTCAGTGGCTCTGTGTTCCTCTTCAACTTCCTCTGTGATTCCCCCTCCCCCACCTCCCCAGGATGACCAGTTGCTGGATGACAGCAAAACCCTCGGAGACTGCGGCTTCACCAGTCAGACAGCGCGACCCCAAGCTCCTGCTACAGTCGGCTTGGCCTTCAAGATCAGCGGTGAGTGGCATCGCACCGTCCTACCGTGCCGGATGCTAGTCGACTGTGTTTTGAGTCAGAACTTGGAATCGGGGGGTGGGAAATAACGGGAGCATGAACTTAACGCATGGCTATGACCGTGCCATGAATGTCAGGCTCTCACCTGGCGTGTGGAATCTCAATACATCCCTTGCACATATAAGAGTCTTAAAAGGCAAGCATCTTTTCGTTCTTTCCGGCCAGTGTCTTTTAGGAGTTGTATCCTTTTGATTCCAGTTCTTAACCGTGGCACAGTCGGTTTGAGGCTTGGCAGTACACAGCAGAGGTCTCCGTGAGAAAGGCAACTATATGCCAACCACCACTCTCCCTCTCTCTCTTACGCAGATGATACCTTTGAGCCCCTCCGCATCGAACCCTTCTCCAGCCCTCCAGAGCTCCCTGACGTGATGAAACCCCAGGACTCCAGCAGCAGTGCGAATGAGCAAGCAGTGCAATGAGAGAACCCGGGAGGCGGAGTGAGCTGCACGTCCCATGTCACCCCTCTCCTCCCTTGCCCTTCCTGAAGCCTCTAGGGCAGAGAGTCATGGCGCTGCCCCTTCCCCTCCAGCCCAGGCCCCTCCCCTTCTACTCCACCCCCTCTAAGCAAGATTACATGCCCCCCCATTCAGAACATCTCCTCATTCATCCAACAGAGCTATGTTTTGGTTTTGGAAACAATAAAAGTTCAGCTGGATTTTTCCCCCCCTCCCTTTTGTCTTGTGTTGTGGGCCCCCGCTTCAGGATCAAGCTTTGGAAGCTGCTCATTGGGTAGTCCTTTTTCTCTTGCTCGGCAGGTCTCCTTTTCTCTCGTGGTGGAATGCTGCAGAATGAAGACGTACAACCGCCTGCGTCGCTTCAGACTGTGTCAGAGGCCCGGAGTTGGCGGGGGCACCTTGCCCATTGCAGATCCAAAGCTTGACAACCTCCAGTGAGGGAGAAAGCCACGTCCACCCCTTAGAAATTGGTTCCACTGCTGAATGCAACGAGCAGTTACGTGTTTCAGCGCTCCCTCGGTTAATGATTCCCTGTAAGCAGAAAACTAGCACAGCATCCAGAGGCGTCAGACTAGAATGTTTCTCCCTGATATGGAAAATTTTATTGGCAAGGTGGTCTTACGCGGGAGAGTGCGTGGGCGCTTGTGCATCTGAAATCATAATAGTTCATTTAAGCTCATATTTCCATGCTGAGGAAGTACAAGACTTGGAATGATCTGGGTTTCTACCTCACCGATCCATTAACATTGCCAGAACTGGAGACAGAACCAGGTTTGTGTCCCCGGGGCCTTCCCGCTTGCTGCTAGAAGATCAAATGCACCCTCTTAGGCATAAGTCATTTCCTAAACGCTACATTAGCACATCTCGGTTGAAAGAGGTGATGGAGGAAGGGCTCCAAAGAGGAGGCTGGCTCCCTTAAAAGGCACCAGCCACCTCCTGGAGTGTAATCCTCTAGCCATAGGCCAGGTTCTTGTCTGTGTACTCTTTGCAGAATACGTCTGCACAGCCCAGAGAAACTGAATTAATTGCCATTGGTTCTGGCTCCATCAAAGAACCCAGGGAAGGATGGTTCTGCAGCAGAGTCTGCCAACAGCTAGCAGATTCTTACAGGGCCATCTTAAAACAGGCTGAGGCCCTAAGCTGTGCCATGCTGAAGACACTCCATAGCTTACTCAAAAATGTGTATTCTGTCATTGAACTTTAGTAGCTTTTTTGTGTTTAGAGACCCCACACACTAGTTTGTTTAGCTTGTGCAGGAATTCAGCTCTGCATGTTGAAATGTCTTCCTTAGCACAGGGAGATCTTGTGATTAGAGATAACAAGCAGAAGACCCAGAAGGACTTGTAAGGGGTATCTCATTTTCTCCTCCCCTGCTGTTCTCTTCCCTGACAGCACCCATAGCTTCTCCCTTTTTCCTGCTTCCTTCTCTAGTTCCCACCCACCAGGCAACCTTCCTTTACCTTGCCCCCCCCCCCCTCTTTACGTTTTCCCTTCCCCAGGAAAA